TTATTCAGCGCATTGTTGTATATTTTTATTGAGTTATAACTATTTATAAGTAATATTTAGTCTTCTACCAGTACTATTTAGTCTTTTGCGACAAGTATATAGTTTCATTAGTAGTCTTCTGCCTGTAATGTTTAGTCTTGTGGAAGCAGTATATAATGTTCTGCAAGCTATAAAAAATATATTAGGCTTCTGCCGGCAATATTTAACATTATTCAAGCAATATATAGTCTTTTTTTATCAGTATCCAGTCTTCAATAAGTAGATAACTGTTTAATTATGTTGTAAAAGGATTACTTAAAACCAATCGATTTAAAGGTTTTGAATTGAAAGATTTATTTTGTGTTGAAAAGGTTTATTTAGAGTACAATTAACCGTTTACAGAGACATTCGATAATGGACTTTACGATGACGTCGCGAAATCCCGCGGGAATTTAACCAAACGCGTTCAGTCCTATTTGCCAATCCCCTAAGTGCGTTCGATATCCCATTGTAAATATCCTATTAGCGACCGGATAATTTCGATCTCGAGTACGTACAGGGCCAAAATAGAGATGCCATTGTTGGTTAATCTTGATGTATTACTGCCATGTACCATCCGGATGTCTCGTTTATACAATAATTACTAAATCTTCTAAACTTATTTATCAACAAGGTTAATGGTTTTCTATTATCATAAAGATCTTTGTTTTAGTTTATCTAGGAGGGATGTTGTAATCAACTCCACCTGGTTACCAAGCGGGTTAATTTTCGTATAAATTTCTCTGAACTTAAATGTTCCTGTAATATATGCTTACAGAAAAAACAAGAAATTGTGGTGATAAATTTATTATGGATATATATTTGCGACGGTTATAAAACTTGTCTCGTAAAGTAAATCAACGACTTCAACAACAATAGAGTTGTAAAATTGTGAGAAAAACGACCCCGAATCGTATTTCGGAACTCCTCTGGGTGCAATACAATCAATTTCCGGAAAATTTTTCAAAAACTTTTCTTTTCTTACAGAACAGATTTAAACTTTTATAACACAAGTTTTTTGACTACGCCGATTAAAAAAAATTTTTTTTGTTGTAAAACAAATTCAAAAACATCCCATTATTTGAATAAGATTTCAACTCGTTACCCCCAGAATATAAATCCCTTAATACTCTACTTTTATGGACTGCCGCTGACAGCTGCATAGATCCTTCTCCACCAGGTGCTTCACCAAGCGTGATTTAGAATCTTTTTTATTTGCTGATGATGTTAAACTGACATTTTTTACACAAAGTTATCTACTAAAAATATGATATAAAAGAATATCGCAGAATGAAAGAAATTATATTGACGAAAATAGACTACATTCCAAGCTCTATTGACGAATATACATCGTTTCAGAATCATTCTGAGTAATAAGACTTTGTTACTTCGTCCAAATTGGGGTTGTATGCTGTACAAGCAGAGAAAAAGGTTGTGTTAACAACGAAGGGAATCCTGAAAGAGGATTTATTTTTTATATACCCGCTTTTATGACGAAAGAAAGGGAATGAAATCTGTTGAAGAAGCTTTTCCTTTTTTTCTTTTTGGGTAAATCAAAAAATTAATCACAATAAATAATTTTATTAAAATCACCTTGAAATCTCCCGTTGTATTTCAACAATGACTCAAATCACAGTGGTTTCGAATTCCACACGCTGTCCAACTTCCGGAATACGAAATTCCTCGGATTCAAATATTCGAATCCTCGAATTTAAAACTCAATTGATTTTCCATATTATCAAGTTCCGATCGAGTTTCCACGTTTGTATTTCCCTTCCTACTAATCCGTTTTAACGGATTAAATTGAGAATGAAGCAATTTGTTTTAGTTATCTTAACACGATTAACATCTTGTTGTTGAAACTCATCTCACCTTGATTGTGGACAATAACCGCAAATTAGTAATGATTCATTTGAATTGCAGGTGCTAGAACTAAACTAGTAACGCGAACTATCTTTACTGCTTGAATTCTAACTGGTTAACGAGTAAACTTTGTCTCTTATTTAGCATTCGAATCGCATCCATTTCTATCTTAATTCAATCGAGAAAAAGTGACCTTTAAAATATAAGAAAAACTATTTTCTATTGAAAATAATGATTTTGTGATGAATAATATAAAAATCATTCTTTTCCACTCTAGATATTCAAATGGATTTAGAAGAAGCTTTGAGAAAATCGTAATAAATCCCGATGTGAAATATAGGGATTTTGTGGGATTGCAATTTTTCGCAGAATGATTAATCTTTTTCTATGGAGAAAGATGCATTATAGAGCGAACTTTGGTTTTTCACGCTTTCGCGTCTTTTCCCTAGCGTGGAAAACATGCACCGTCAATTATTCAAAGTCGATCAGTCAACAATAAATTGACTTCACTGAAACATGAATCGTATTGATCTAATTTGTACAAACATATTTTTATATTAAATGAGAAACAAAATCCGCTGAGATTATCTGGGAATATGTCGATGCTATAAAAGAGAAAGTGAATCTACTGGAGTAGTAAGTTATTAAATACGTATAGTTTGTTTGATTTTAGTTGTTACAACAGATATCTCGACTGCTGCTGGAGATATGACAAAATTTTATAGAGGGAAAGCAGATTGTCTCTTGATATCTACTGCTATAGCTTAAATTAAACACATTGTAAACCTGCAGTAGTTGTCATTTTGTGCTGTATATATTTAGGAGTTAAACAAGAACAACAGATTTGATTAGGTTTTGAAATAATTCTGGCAAAAATTGTGGAGGTTGATTTTTTACAAACACAAATTGAAAAAATTGTACAATTAAATTTCAAAACTTTATATCTTCCATTAACTGCTATAAATTTTCCCCCAGTATTAATAATAACACAAAAAAACACATATTGCACACCGGAGTCGCAACAAATAGTTGCCAACATTTCAAAATTATTATTCTTCCGAATATAATTTAATTAACCAAATTACAATCCGAACAATCCAGGGAAATACACGATACCAAATTCCAATTTTTAAATCCCGAGTTTAAACCTGCAGCAAACTGATTTTGTGGTGGTGAGGTACCCAACAGCAGCCGCTGGGCGATATCCGGAAATAATTGGAAGTTAGCCAGCGTCGATCCGATAAATCGTTTAACTCGCGCAAGAGTTTACAGTCACCAACCTAATCGCAATGTAATTCCTTCCAAAATCACGACTTTTTATTGAAATTGAATCTGGTTAAGGGAAATTGAAGGCGCTTTTAGATCTCTTTTAATTCGGATTGCTCATTTCATATGCATGAGACTGCAACGACTTCTCAAAGGAAATTTTCTTGACGACTTAATAAGAAAACTTTACTTAGATTAGTTTAGATTATTAATCAAAAAAAAATATATATAAAGAAAACAGAGATAAAGTTAGTGTGAAATATTAACTGTTCCTGAAAGGTTTGGAAGAGGAAGATTTATTTTATCGCCACAACGTGGAGTATCAATACTGGAAACGGTGCGGTCTTGCGCGAAACTTCTTTATCTGTAGAGATCGCGAACGAAGAAGATGTATACTCGAAAACTCGTGGAGATTTGTTACCACGCCAACGATTTCAAGCTTTCAACCCGAACGATCAAACGTAAACGATCGTTGATTTAAAAAAAATGATTTAAATTTGTTAATTCAATCCGGAAGTTTGTATTCAGGTGAATAACATAATAAAACAGCTGCAAAGCCATTTTCAGCATGGAGACGAGCTTTGAAGTGAGCACGCCCGGCTCAAAGTTCGTGTAAAGCCCTTTCTTAGTGCGACATAACAGCTACACCTCCAAGTGAATAATTCACGAGAAGCAGCAGAAACGTTAAGGAAAGCACCACTAAAGTTATTCCTTTGTATGTATTCGATAAGGAAAGGTGGTGGGTTTGTTTAAAGCTGAAATGCTCCCTCGATTTTGACATAAAAGATAAGACAATGTCGAGTACCTTCATTGTCCTAAAGTTAACTGCAATAATTCATTTTCGCAAACAATTTAGTTAAAAAAGATAATGTTTAGACTCACTTTCTAGTTCTAGGACTTGTGTTAGTTCAATAAAAATAGATAACAATATAACACTGAGTAACAATTAATCGTATAGACAACTTGGGGAACACTCCGAGTTGGATTCTATCTATGAATATACCTTATGTTACTTTTGCTGTACTATTCATTCCGACAAAGAGCTTAATACATCAAAATGATTCTCCTAACAGATGTTGGTTGAGGTATTAGCATTATGACCATGAGATATGCATAACAAACGAAACCTCGGATTCGCACACGCTAATCCCATAGGAGATGTGCGTGCTGTTCGTTACGCGAACATCATGTTTAAACTTGCACGTGCAAAACCGCGCGATCTTCGTGAAACCACGATTTCAACGAGAACGGATATTATTCGAAGCTCTGACTTTGTAACTAAACGACAAAAGCTTTTAAGCCCGCCGAATTGATTAATCATCAATTATCTTGAAGTTTTAATTAATTATTTTCCTCGTAAATTGTTTTTGTTGAATTTCTAAACTAAAGGTGATTCATCATAAGTTTTCTACCTCTATGAATATACGAGTTTTCTTTATTAATTTACGTCCGGGTGATATACAGTGGTCATCTATCTTTCTGTATCTGAAAATTTATGTTTTTACTCTTTTCCTTGATGTATTTTTTATTTTAGGTGTCGTACAGATGTAAAACTTGCGCCGGAAGTGATGAATCAATCAAGAAAACCTTGTCGAGTGGTTTTCTCGGTGGTGATAAATGATCTCGACATCATCCGTGTTATTTTCTCGTAATTTAATAGTTCCACTTCTTGTTTTCTTATTTTTTCTCCCCAATTTTTTTTTTTAGTTAATGACCTTTCTCGCCTCTCAACGAAAACCTTTCCTTTTCTTATTTTCTGATAATTTCCAATTGTCAAAAGAAAAGTAATAATTCATTTTAAAAAGGAATAAAATTTAAAATTCATGTTTTATTTAAGTGCATCACATCAAATTAGTTCCAGTTGCTCGTGAAATAACAACAATTTTAATTTTTTTTTATTATATTTGGGTATTTCCTTTAACCTTAACGTTGGATAATAAATTATTATAAAAATTCTATTAAACATAACACTTATTATTCGCATTTACAATTTATATTCATACTCAACAACAATGGATGTAACCGGGACAATTTCCAATGACAAATCTAATTGTAATAATGGTATAAATTCAGGCAGAACGCACCACAAATTTAGTCGTCACGATATTTTTCAACAACTCACATCAAACTCTTATTAAAACGAACATGTTGTTAATAACATTTTTGATATCTCTTTTATTTCAAAATATATCTGGACAACTTACAACAGCTCTTCCTTACGTTTGCGTTCCAATAGGAACCTGTACAACACCCACCAGTAGTCCTAATGTAATTGATCCAAGAATTGTAACTCCAACAACGTCGCCTTGTCCAGCGGGACAAGAAGCTTGTTTCATAACATCCCCAACTGGTCAATGTGGAAGAAGGTATGTTCAAAATGTGAATACCGCTGATGGTGCAGCCACCTTAGGAGCTTTCCCATGGTTGGCATATATCACGAATCAAACTGGTTATACAGGAGTTGGTGTTTTGATAAATCCTCAAACTGTTTTGACAGCAGCTCATAAAGTTTGCTTAAACGAACAAACTCCAAGCAATGTAAGAGTTAGTTTAGGGGTTTATTCACCAAGTAATATGGCAACTGCACAAAATTCAACAGCTTCATCTATAGCGATTCATCCAAATTTTAATTGTGCTCAACCATGGACATTAATTAATGATATTGCTGTTATTAGACTATCCACGCCAATTTCAATTGGTAGTAAAAGCTAATTTTTGATTAATTTCTTTTTACTTAATACATCTTTTTGTAGGTATTCAAACGAACGTTGGAACAGCTTGTCTTCCACCAGCTGCAGCCCCTGGTACATCACCGTACGTGGGCAGATCTTGTACTGTTGCTGGATGGGGCCAAACTGGTTTCGGTACAAACGACGCACCAACAAATCCCCAAAAACAAGTAACAGTACCAATAGTAACCTATCAGGAATGTAGAGCTTCAATGAGTAGAGCAGATCTTCTGGGTAGTGCTGTTGATAGATTCTTAGATCCTAACGGAGAGATTTGCGCCGGAGGATTAGCTCAAAGGGATGCTTGCACTCAAGATGGCGGAGCTCCTTTGGTTTGTGCAGATACAACAACTGGCCAATTTTATATTGCTGGGTTGGTTATTTGGGGAAAAAGATGTGGATTACCTGGAGTATATGGGGTTTATGTTAATGTTCCCGTTTATAGACAATGGATTGATACGGTTATAGCTAGTTTTGGTTAAGCATTGTTTAGTTAATGATGTGACCCCGAAAATTGTTCTAAAAATATATTTTTGTATATTAATCGATTTGATACCATCATAATTTATGTACAATTCTAATTAATCTATAAATTTCAACAAACTGTCCGAGTGTTTAACCTTCTCCAACAAATCATTTGGTGACCAACAGACCTGTATATCTAAATTACTCGGTAATTTAACGTTTTAGTACAAAGTTCTATGTACTCTCGTGAGAGGGAAATTCAAATTTGTCCGGAGGTATTATTTACGACGATGTAGTCGCGTCGAGTGTGTCCATTCATTCTAGGACTATATAATTTTCGAACCACGGAAAATTTTAGCGGTATCTGAAATTTTGGTGGATTGTATACGTAGACCATAACGTCCTGCTAATGACGTACTATGCGAGGTATATGGTCCGAGGATGATTAATGGTTTTGAATAGAACGAGGAGTTGCACTTTCTATGGAAATTTTGCAACATAATGCGAAATAATTACAAATTTCGTTGATGTATGAAATTACAAATTACAAGAGCTCCAATTTCAAAACATCCAAAATGACTACTTAAGTAATTAAGAGGTTGTGTTTGAAGATGTTTGAGTTGTACCCATCCCAAATTTATCCGATTACACAGCGAAGTTTGAGTTAAACAAGCCGATACCTTCTTGATTATCCTTTAAGTTTAAATAAGTAATTATACAAGTTTAAATTTTGCTGAAATCAAAATAATTCATAATCAAATCCATTAAACTTTATTAATAACAACTTTAGCAATCTCGACCTATTTTAAGATAGGAAACATGAAACAATACCAAACACAACAAACTTTAATTATTTATTTACATTAATCGGAAATTGAATCGTAGATAATCGAAAAATATTTACCTACCCCTTTAGGTAGTCGTTGGCTTATTGGCATGCTAATCACGGGAACGACATTACTGTTAGTAAACAAGGACAAGTTCGCTAATTACGAACTTGGCGAGTTGTCGCCTTGTAAACGGGTTCCCGATTTCGTAGGCGATTCCTGAAGATGTCTTCACGCTTCCATGGACATTTCGTATGACGTCAATTGCTAAACGATCGATTTTTCTGCTAAATTCAAACATTTACAAAAAAATTTAAATAAATAAATCAATGCAAAGTTTTATCTATAAAAATAAAAAATTTTGTGTTATCGAAATTATTAAATTCTGAATTTATTAAAGTTTTATTTACTCACGATATTTATATAAAGCTTGTTTTACATTTTTAACTTAAATTAACGTTTAATTAAGCTGTAATTATCTTCAGATAATTAGGGATAATTAGTAAATGGATTCAACAAATTGTTGTGGTGCTTTATTCAATTAATTAGAACAATAAGGGAATCACTAAACAATGGTATTCAAGTTCTATATTTAGGCACAAAACAAAACAAAAATTAAGGAAATAATAGTTAGTTTTAAGTATTTTTAAATTAATTTGAAACGTAACTGAAAGCGGAAATTGTGTCGCGTGGAGCGAAATCTCCGAGTTTCTAACGGAGTTTCCGAAAGAATTAAAAATCGTAAAGTTTAAACGCGCCAGAACGCTGTCACGTCTTTTTTTAAAAGAGTTACAGTTTGCGAAACTAAAACCTTCAACCTCGTTTTTGCAATATAAAAACTTACAAAAAGAAAAAAAATATAATAAATAATTTTAAATTTGCGATTTCAGTTCACGCCTTCAATATCGATCGAAAACCCCTCAATTCCCAAAATACCACTTACCCTCATTAGAAATAATGGTACTTTACGTCCGGAACATCTAATATAGTACCCACATATATGTAATGTACTGTTCCCCGAATCCCTTAGAAATATTCTTAGGGTTAAACGACTCCTTTTTTATACCGAGAATAATGTTCAAAACGAAAAAAAGGCTTTTTTGCTCTTAATTACGAAGGTTTTAGAATTTAGGAGAGTGTTACTTAACCCGAAGGTTAAGTGAAAATTCGTGTCAGTTAATTTCGTCTTAAACAAATTTTTTTTTTTCAGTTTTAATTAAATGGAGTGATCTACACTCAACTTTTTCGGGTTTATATAACATTTTCGTTTATTTTTTAGTTTCCCATCCAAACAATAATTAGATAGTAATACAGAAGTCAAGAAATCGCAAAATGTCTTGCTCTAATAGATGGAATTGAAATGGAGTAAGTAAGCTGTAATATGCTCATTAAAGTGAAAATATTACTAACTAAAGTGGAAGGAATTACTCCGCACAATGAATGAGTCAATTTAAAACTGGTCTTTTTAAATTACATGCACTAAGAATTATACAGGGTGCCCATTATGTATGGAATATTGTATATATCTTGGCAAGTATCAACTTTATAAAAAAACATTTTATACAAAAGTTGGTTAGTATTTTATTTGCCATAATAAGACACCATTCAATTGTTTTTATTTCAGAAAACAAATGAGCAACGAATAACATTTAATTTTTTTTAAATGGCAATGTACCCTTTTATTAGGCTTATTTGATAGAGATTTCTTTTCTCTTTATGATGACGTAAAATTTTTGTACCCTTACATCAGAAAATTTTTGCATAAAATGTAAAAATTGTTTATTAAGAAAATTTAACCAATAACATTAATCTAGATATCCGAGATCGTCAACTACCTCGAATTATTACCGTAAATTAAATCTACATACAAAATAAAACAAATAAACTAAAAATTAGTGTAAATGAAAATTATTAAACTTTGAAGACAAAACGAAATTAGCACTAAAATGGTTTTCACGACAATAAATGTTCAAAATGTTCACCATTAACTGCAAGGCAGTGGCCCAATCTATCATAAAAGGCTTGAAAAGAATTTCTTAGCGATCTGGGAGAAATAGCTGCAGCTTCATCTTTTATTCGTTGCTCTAATTCTGTCAGATTTTGAGGTCGGTTTACATAAACTTTAGATTTTAAATATCCCCAGAAGAAGAAATCGCAAGGTGTAAGATCCGGAGATCGGGGTGGCCACTCTACAGACCCTCTTCTGCCTATCCAACGGGCCGGAAATACCGTATCTAAATATCGGCGTACATCTAAATGATAGTGGGGCGGTGCCCCATCTTGTTGAAACCAAAGATCATCAAGATTTTCTTGGCAAGCTGGGATAATTTGCTGTTGCAATAATTGTAAATAACGGTGACCAGTTAGAGTACCTCGAATAAAGAAAGGTCCAATTATGTGATCTGCACAAATTCCCACCCATACGTTTAATTTCTGTGGTGTTTGAGTATGATTTTGAATCATCCAATGGGGATTTTTAGCGGCCCAATATCGAGAATTTTGCTTATTTACATTACCATTTAAACAAAACGTAGCCTCGTCAGAGAAAACCATATTATTGAGAAAATTTGGATTGCTGTTGATTCGCTCCATCATAAATTCACAAAATTCAACACGTCGACCGTAGTCATCTTCGGATAATTCTTGCAATAAAGTCGGTTTGTACGGATGTAAATTTTCTGCATGTAATATTTTGTGTATTGAACCTTTACTTAGAGCATGGTTTAAACATAACTGACGAGTTGAAATGTTTGGATTTTCTTCGATTTCTATGAGAATATCGATCTTTTTATCTTCATCTGTTGCAGATCTCTGCGGACCAGTCTTTGGCAGATCTTTAACGTTACCAGTTTCCCTAAAACGTTTCGAAGTTTTGCTAACTACTGATTGAGTGATTGGTTCTCGATGTGGATAACGCTCATTGAAAATTTCACATACTTCTAATTGTGTTCGTTTGCGATCCCCATAACCGACCATAATTAAAATTTCTATGCGTTCAGTTTCTGTTAAATGAACCATTTTTCTTTTTTGATCTACCAACTTATTTAAATAAACAAGATTCTGTCACATTCAATAGCTTACATTCAATTGTTAGGACAAATAAGATTTCGGATATCTAGATTCATGTTATTGGCAAAATTAACTTAATAAACTGTTTTTACATTTTTTTCAAAAATTTTCTAGTATAAGGGTACTAAAATTTTACGTCATCGTAAAGAGAAAAAAAATCTCTATCAAATGAGCCTAACGAAAGGGTACATTGCCATTTAAAAAAAATTAAATGTTATTCGTTGCTCATTTGTTTTCTGAAATAAAAACAATTGAATGGTGTCTTATTATGGCAAATCAAATATTAAACAACTTTTGTATAAAATGTTTTTTTGTAAAGTTGATACTTACCAAGATATATACTATATTCCATACATAATGGGCACCCTGTATACTCTCTTCAAATACAAGAGATGGAGGCTCAAGATGACGACAGGGGCGAGCAAGATGAGAAGTCAATGTGACTAAACACACTCAGGAGATTCTCGGGATGAGAAGTTGGAAGAGCCTTGGAAGTGATCTCTTCTGGATCATTAGGGTTGGAGGCGAAACATTGAGGAGACCAAAGCTTGATTTGACAAAGGACCACTCTAGAAAAAGAAGCAAAGTATGTGGTAATTTCTGGGATAATTTACACAATTTATACTAACATGCTATTTGGAGTTCTTTTTGAAGCAGTTCTTTACTTGAAGAACATGACTGGATTTCAAATTTTTCTTCTAAGCCTCCGTGTTCTGAGTTTTTATCGATATATTAAAAGAATGTCTTAAGACGATTTGAGTACATTCTTGGAAAAATTATTACTAAAGATGTTTATTAAGTCCTTAAATACATATGAATCGTTTTGGTCCAATTCTATGTTACGAGTAAATTCCAATTGAGATGATTATATCAGTAGCAAGTAAAAAAAAATAAAATTGTTGGGAGTAGAAGATGATGAATAATTTAACACGCAAGAAATATATTAAATATTTTATACTTGACCCGAAACGTGACTTCATACCATTTTTATTAACCGTAAAACTTATACGATATCCTTGTAAAGCCCTTGTAATCCTCGTTTTCTTAAGTTTCTCTAAGTTTCACTAAGTTGTACTAAGTTAAGTTTAAATCTTAATCATATATATATAGTACAACGCATTTAGTTTATTTCGATGAAATTATTTTCACAAACTTCAAACAAAACTTCGGTTTACATGAATCCTACATCACGGGGTGGTTTCGAAAGTTCGGCTACATCGGGATAAAGAGAAATCGATTTCGTTGGATTATAAAGGATGCACGAAATAGTTTGGTGTGCTGTTTTAGTGTCTTAGCATCGTAAAAACACATTAAGTAGTACTTTGTGGACGTGTTTGGGTCACAACTTAACAGAAAATAAGTTAGGACAGTTAGGTTATAAAGCTTAATGTAAAATATAGTGTTATTAATCACGTTAGTATTATTTGGAAAATTAGGTCGCGGACAAATTAAAAGCGTAAAAGTTTCATTCATAACGGATTTCTTGAATGAAACCTTTTTTTTGTTGATATTACAAAATAGTCGATTAATTCTGGTTAATAAAGCGTAGCATTTTAAGTAATAAAAATTCTTTTTAGTTTTAATATAAATATATATTATCTATATATATATACATATATTTCTTTTAGTTGATATTAATTAAATTAATCGAGAATGTGTTTAATTTAACAAAAATCTTTAATAAGAACGTAAACAAAATTAAAAAAATTTATTCATTGTCATTGAAGAGAATGTAATGAGATTATTCACGGTGTTGCAATTACATCCTGTCCGTTAACAAACCATTTAATTCCTTGATACTTTCCTCTTTAAGAAGCTATATAAATCTTGTCTCCAATAAAAAATCGTTCAGTTTCACCAAGAAAACGATTTAAACGACCCAAAAAATAATTTGAAATAATGTTTTTCACGATTATCTCGTTCATTTTAATTACAAGTGTGAACCCACAAAGGTACACTCACCCCTTTTTTCAAAATCACCCTAATTACGAAGTTAATGAAGGCCCAAAAAGCATCTTTCAATCTGGGGATAATTTGCGATTCGGACTAAACCCAAAATTGGGGGATCCAAATGGATTTTTAAACGGGAATCATTTTAAATCAATATTTGAAGATTTCAACCAAAATAATTTTTTCAACCCCAAATTAACACCTTTCGGGGGATTAAACAATTTCCCAAGTCATTTTCATAATCGTCATCAACAGCCGTTAATTTATAAAGAAAAAGGATTCGATGAAAATAAGAAATTGGCCGATTCTTCCTTTAAACGCGAACAAGGTCAACAAGGAGTCGAAGGCGAAGCTGGAATTAAGAAAGTAAACGAAGACGTCGAAAGCAAAAAAGAAGCCGAGAAAAATTCTGCCGCTTTTGCAGCCCAAGAAGGAGTTAAGAAGGTGGTGGAGGATTCCAAAGAATATGATGGGAAAAAGATGCATGAAAAAGAAGGTAAACATTTGTCTAAATAATAAATTAAATTGCGCAAGAGAAGCGTGAAATCAAATCGTAGAAATTTCGAAACGAATAATTATGTAATTATAGTAAAATCTCGAAATAACGGATTAATACGCAAAAGTGGAGTTGTTCTTTTGTACAAATATTGTTAGGTTTTAAGTTAGGTTTATTATTGTTAATATTGTTGGTTTTAATACTTAATAAAGTAAAATTTCTTTTAATACAACTACATTTAAAATAACGTTTAGCCGTCTTATAAATCCAAATGTTTCTAGTTCTAGGCCTAGTGTAAGTTCTACTTTTAGTTCAAGAAAACTATACAATAATCTAGCGCTGAATAGAAATTTAATAAAATTTTTTTTTAGGTTCGAATGAAAATGAAGAAAAAAATAAATCCTCCCATAAAAAAGGTCACGTAATTAAACATTTTAAGAATTCTCATCATAAAGATGAAACGGGCCGAGATGAACAATATTATGATGAAGAGCACGACGAAGGCGGTAGTTTTAAATACGATTCGAGTAAAGGCAAATTCGGCGAGAACGAGTCGTCTCAACATAAAGAACTGCAAGAAAACAAAGAGTTGGCGAGCAGCGAAAAAGAGCAAAAAGCCGGTCACGAAAACTCGGAGTTTTCCGGTCGAAATTCAGGACATTCCGAACAATTTAAAGAGGAGAAGAAATTGTCGGATGCCGCCGAACACGGAAACGGTAATTTGCATAATGAGGAGTCGATTTTAAACCATCAAGAAGCCGAAAAAGTTTTGTTAAAACAACCGTTGCACGATGGGTTCGATAAAGACACATAAATTGTTATAAATGTGTATTAATTTTTAATTATTAATTAAATTCTTTAATAAAATATTTTATTTTCAGAGCGAAACAAATTTCTTGTTATAATTAGACCTTAATTACGACATAGTTGAACGTGTAAAAATCAAGCCCCTTAATTAAATTTCGTGATAATCGAGTCAGGGAAGGTGCCTTTCGCTTGTTCAGGGAAGAATTTTAAACTCCATTAAAAGATTATTGGGGCGGAAGGACCGAAAAAAGTTTTGGGTTTTGTTGGGTTGGGGTCAAAAGGGACGTTAAAGGGAAAATAGCAAGAACAGGGAAATTCAATTTACTATTTTAGAGATAAGATATCGAAATACACAAAAAGTTTTACTCCTAACCATCTCTAATTTATAAAAAAAAAACATTTTTTACATTTTAAATAACATTTTGACCATGCTCTTGATATTATCACTATTAGAGATGATCAGAGAGATCTGTTTTGATTTTGAGCATTTCAAAGTACCAATATCTTTTACTTTTATAATTATTAATCAAGATGCATGTATAATTTAATGATTTCTACAACTCAGCTTTACAAAGGATATTGTTTTGTTTGAAAATTCGATATTGATTGTAGAAAAATAATAGTATCAATCGAAAATTTTCGTAGAGAAATTCTTGTTATCCCCTCAAGGGTGTGCACAAGCGAGAACTATTTCCCGAGGAACCCATATTTGTTCGGTAACCGGCGAATGCAAATAAAGATATCCCGCAGGAATTTTGGGTTCAAATCCCTACGGGGTAGTAAACCCTTTCCCCTTCAAGTCCATTTTCGTTGGTATAATAAATTATTATTAGGAAAAAATTAATTTTAATGTAAATTTTTGAAATTGGTAATGACATGTTAATCTTGATACAAAATCCCCTTTACAAAGTTAACAACGTAGGCAAGTCGTTAAGCTTTAGTAAATTAAAGAGCTTTTAGTCAAAAGCAAACAAGGAACGACACCAAATAGTGGTAAAATCGGTTTCCATAAAATTGAATAAGAAATAAACTTTTAATGATAACAATTTTCCGTTTCCATCGAGTTTTAAAAAGTTAAATACGAATTAAAAAGTTTTAATTCAATTCTTAATGCATCAATCTTATTTACTAATCTAACGAAAAGAAGCATTTTCTTACCCATTTATTCATTTACTCTTGCTTGATTGAATTACCTTTAAAGTTTATTATTTTATTTACTGAATTAGTTCTGTATATCAAGTTGTGTTCCAATTACTTCATTATTTTATCTAATTAAGTCGAGACTGCTTTCGGCCGAGGCATTACAATTAATACAATATTTAACAATACACATACTGAATAAGACAGAATAATTATTTTTTAACAAAATGTTGGAATGATAAGAATACAACCCTTCGTTGTAGTTATGTACTTCTTTTTAGTTCAGTGTGTAAGATAAATTAAACATTAATTATAAACAGGAGCCCTTTATGAAAAGGTCCTCAGAGAAATTTTTATACCGGTCGCCTTCTATGCAAATATCTTCGTATTCTATTCTTTAAAATGTGATAAATGACTTTGTAAATTACCTACTAATTTTTTTATTTCTATTTAGCGCTTTACTGTTTTAATTCGTTGTCTGTAAACATTTTATAGCGGTTGGTAAACTTTAAAATTTTCAATAAGCAAATTGGCACTGAAAAAATTTTCCATGTATATTTAGCTTTCAGCTGTTTTGAGCTAAAAATAGTTAACTGTTCCACAGGTGCTTTGCCAATTGAAGTTATCCACCAATAAATGAATTTCTTTCTTTAATTAATTCTACAAAAATATTATATTTTACACAATTTTAAAAAAATATTAAGAAATAAGGTGACAAAACCTCATTGGCGTTTAGGAAATTAGGATTCCATTAGTCTATTTACAGTTGCATTGGTAATTATCGTAAATCAATTGTATTCGATACTCGAAACTGATTAACAACACCTATCCGTTTCCATGACATGAGCCCCACATCCAAAATGCCATTTAAATCAGACATAAAGAGATAATCACAAATTTACGTTATTCAACAACATAGAGGCACTTATTGCCCGTTAAAATTTAAACTTTATTACTTGGTACTTTCAGCAACAATTAACCCACTTTTTCTCTTTCTCTCTTTTTTCAATTTTAAGTCCCACATAAAACCCCTCGTTTTATCGATTCCAATTTTAAACGAAACAAATATGTTTTACTTTTGATTCGTTATACGTTTATTTGATTAAATTTATATGAAACAGTTAATTTAATCGTTTTCGGGCCCTCTCAATCTTCGTTAAGTGTCGAAGTTATAAATAAAGAGTAGCCGATATCGTTTAATATATATATTTTTTTTTTAGGGGGTTGGAGGAAAAAATATTAACCAAGGTCCATCGTAAAACGTAAAAATTGTTTTTAGCAAAACCCATATTTTCGTTATCAGCAACTTGGTGAAACGATGAAGAACGTCAAAAACACCTTCGACGAAGCCCTTGAAACCCCTTTTATTACCGATATAATCCGAGTCATTCCAGAACCTTTCAGATCACGATAAATTTATTAAGTATTAAGAGCTTTTTTAACATTCGTAATCGATCTAAAAATATTTGAGTTAGTTTTTTTTCTCGAGCACGAAAAAATCGCTCCCTAAAATATATTAACTATCACGAACGTGAAGGTTTTCGAGACGAAAAAGCTTCTAAAACGTGGGAAGTACGGCGTGCACCAAAATGAGTTTCATTCAAAAGAATTTTTTAAAAAATTCCGTTAATTTAATGTTTAATAAATTCTCATTTAAAATGTAAATTGTTAAAAGGGTTCAATTACAATCCTTTTAATCAACTACATTACAAACTGCAATTTCGTTGTAATTACCAATAATCAACAATAATTACCAATTATTATGAAAGTTCAATAATTTATTGAAAACTCAAACACAATTTAATTTAATTATGTTTTAAAGTTTCATTTTTAAAATGTTTCTCCTCATAAACACGAGCATTAAATTCGAATCTTCCCAGAATTCCCATATTGCCCAATAAAACCAGCTTTAACGCAACAATAAAATTTGTGTAAACTACAATTTACGCACGCAAAACCGTTTCGGCGAAGTTATTTCGCGATGTCGCCGAAAGTCATAAGCACAACGATAAATTACGGAGAATTACGGAGGAAGAACTTGTCATATGCATCAAATGGAACATGGGAGAGATGGTTTAAACCAAAACGAGATCGATCTGGTTGTATACCGAGTCATAAAAAAATTCACACCAAAACGTTTATATTTTCCAAATTTAATTCAATCAAATTAAATTTAATAAAAAAAAATCAAATTCATTGAATACCAAAAATTAAGCTTGTTATGTTTGTTTAAACATTGATTTTTAGTCGACACATTACTTTTCAAACACTCTGTATGGACGAGAAAGATAACGACCGGATAAAAGGGAACTGATGTCGCGTGGAGAAATGCGTCGAATTTGAAATGGACCGTTTGAGAGAGGAAATGGACGTGGAGGAGTAAAATTACAATGACCGGTAATCGCGTTGTTGCGCCCAAAAATGTACTTAGCACCAGCGAGAGAATATTAGTATCATAATTCTTATGTCGGGAATAAACGAGAAAAAGCAAAACTTGGATGATAAATAAATAATGCCACAAAAATTTTATAAGCTATTTTAAAAATATCACGAATTAAATATGGAACGATGAACAATTTAATGGATAATTGGAAAATATGGTTGAATTGTTGTGTTTAAAATGTATTCCCCAATAATTGGTGGTGAAAAAATCCACCTTACTAAAGAATAAATTATAAAGTGGTACCATGCATTAAAAAAGTTTAGAACATAAACGACCTCAGCTTTGTAATATTGGAATTAATTCTTTTTTGCAAAGTTATTTTTCAAAATGTGTTGGTTCATTGGAACAAGGACACTTTTATTAACATTTTGGGAAATTTTCATACTCATATTCCAAGAAATCGATTTATTACGAATTCTTAAAACTTAATCGGCGAAAATTGCAAAATTCGAAAAAATTGTCGATTATTTCAAAAATTTATCTCTCAAGAACTAAAAGTGAATTTTCAGAACGGCTTTTTGCATTAAAAAGAGGATGCTTTAATTAGTAATTGGTGATATTTCCACAAGGATCCTTCAAGAAATTAATTTTTTAGCGAATTTTGCAAGTTATTGATGAAAATTTTCTCAAAACTTCAAATATTCTTTTCTCAAAAACTAAAAGTTATTTTTCAAAACGTGTTGGTTCATTAGAAAGAGGACACTCTTATTAAAACTTTAGGAAATTTTCATACTCATATTCCAAGAAATCGATTTTATACGAATTTTTAAAACTTAATATTTAATATAATTTTGTCCTTTTTTTTAATTTATGACAATTATTTTTTTTTTTGATTTAATAGGGACATCTTTTAGTCATGATTGTAAAGAGCTTTTGGTTTCAGAGCAATTTCGAAACGCGCTTCAATAATAGATTCCATGAATTTGAATACGTTATGAGGTTCGAACTCGAACCAGTTATTAACTAAATCCCTATTCGTGTTGATGTTGAATTAAAAATGAACTTTATTTGTTAGTTAAATCGGGTTTTAAAAATGTTTTGATGTAAACATTCTTTGTTTTTATTTTAATTATTTAAACTCTAATTAAAAGTTATTGCAACTTGGTGTCGTTGCAACTCTGATTTGCTAATTAAACTTTTAAAATGTAAATGATACTAAAACGAACGCTTCTGTTTGGGTAAGATTTCGTTTTTTTAATTATTTTATTCTATTAATTCATTCAGGTTTAATTACGAACTCTGATTACAACCGTGTTCTAACAAAGTAATCATCTACATACTCCGATGTCCTTAAACCAGCAGAATTTCTAGTAATTTGCATGTTAACGATTTTTTTGTGTATCTCTCGCATACCAATTGAAGCTTTGCTTGTTTTTTTTTTAATCCAAAAATAGATTTCATTAATTTTTAAAGAAACGCTCATTT